TCCAGGGGCCGCCCACAAACCAGGACATCCATGGACTACGCACCACCCCAGAAGGGCAAGAACAAGTCCAAGGGCAAGGGGAAGTCTAGGGGCAAGCCTGGGAGCAAAGGGAAAGGTAAGCCCCCCCAGCCGAACAATCAGGCGTCCAGGGGCGGTAACAAGCAGGCGGCCACCGATCCGAAAGGGAACCAGTTCTGTAACAACTGGATGCGCGGGCGCTGCCCGGGCAACTGCGGACGCACCCACAAGTGCAACCTCATCCTGGCAACGGGCCGCATCTGCCTGGGAGACCACCTCCCGCAGGACTGCCCGGGTTGACTAGGGGCGCTGACCCCGACCCCCCGGGAGGCCTCAGGTGCCGAGGGCCCTGATAAGGCCCGGGGGGGCGAGAGGGGGCGCAAACGCCCCAAGCAGGCACATGAGCCCCCTCCTGCAGGTGCCGAGGGCCCTGACACAGGGGGGGGACAGGCCAGGTGGCGGCCATCCTCGGCGGAACAAGGATGGGGACGGCAGAACCAGCGTGCACAACACCCTCGCTGGGGTCAGAACAACCACACAGCTGGCACAACGGCGGCGCCTCAGCCCCGAGCCACGGGTGCCGAGGGCCCTGAAACGGCAGGGACGGGACGGTTCCCTGCAGGTGCCAAGGGCCCTGACACGGGGGGCCGCGCCCAGCAGGCCCGATTGCCGGATAACTGGCAGCACACCGCAACGCCAAGGAACACGCCCAGGAGGCAGCCGATCCCACTTCCGGCGCCCAACATCATCAAGCAGGACCCGGTGGTTTTTTATAAGAGCTCGGTTGGGCTGAATGAAGGGGGCCAGCGCCTTTCAGCTACCCCCCTGACAAGTCCCACGGAGCCGTCACCGGGATGGGACATCTTCCCGTGGATGGAGAACATCCCGGAGCGTTTGGTACAGCGGCTGAGATGGACACAGGGCACATCACCCAAAGTTCCATCCAGTGGGCCCATTATTGTCCTGCTCTATGCAGGCAAGGAAGACCCAACTTCCTTGGACAGCTGTCTTCATGCCAACTACCCACACCTTTCCAGCATGGTGGTGGCGGTAGACATCCTACGATCGGGACCAAAAGGGAACCACGACATGCTCCAACCCGAGCTGTATGGAGCTCTCTGCACGGCAGCAAAGCAGGGCCGAGTGGTCTTCATTGGAGGAGGACCCAACTGCAGGACATGGTCCATCCTGCGCCACATACCAAAACCGGGGGCCCCCACCCCGGTGCGAGGGCGCACTCGAGAGACACTTTGGGGCCTCCCACACCTGGACCAGGCCGCCCAGACTCAGCTTGATGATGACAGTATCCTCATTTTGAGGCAGATGTACATCACCAGCCTGGCAAGGGCCTCAAGAGCGGCGGTTTCTCTGCCAGGGCCAAAGTCCTTCTTGGAGCACCCGGAGGACCCAGTGGTGAGCAGCTCGCTGCCCAAAGCCAAGGAATGCTCATCCTTCTGGATCACGGAGGAGGGGCAGCTTTGGATGGAGGAAACTCCTTGACAGCAATCTCCTTCGACCAGTGCCGCCTGGGCCAGCTGGTCAAGAAGGCCACTACGCTAGCCACGGATCTCCCAATTCAGGATTGGGATCAAATGCGGTGCACGCATCAGTCACATGTGGGCACCAACGAGTCCTCGACTCTTAGCAGATACCCTTGGGATATGATGGCAGGCCTGGCCAAAGCCATCGCTGTGTCACTCGCAGCGCCGGGGCACATCCGGATCCCCTCACAATTCCCGGGAAACCCTAAGGAACCACCTAAGGGGCGGGGGTCGGACCCCCCGGAGGGCCCTTCCCCCCGGGGAAAACGGGGACCCAATCAGGGAGGCGGTCCCTCCTCATCACACCAGGGCCCAAAGCCCGGAGGCAAGAATGCCCCGAAGCCCCGCCAGCACGGGCACATCCACCTTGAGGCAGACACCGTAAGCCCTCGTGGAACAATGAACCCAGACTTCCCATCTCCCATGCCCCCGATGGCCGGAGATGCGGAACAACTGGGGAAGGAAGAACATGGGGACCAGGTCCTGGACCGCCCCGAATGCCTGCCCGCTTTCAGGGTCCCACGCCTCATTGACCGAGTTGCGATTGTCCTATTGGGTTTCCGCTCACGCCCCCTGAGGGATGGGGGGGGAAACCTTCCCCGGGGAGGCTCAACAGGTGCCACCACACACCCCTTCCAGGAAGCCGACCTCGATGAGCTGCGGGCTATCCTGGGACCCAGGCACCTCCATGAACGATGCCCAGGGCAACCCTTCCTCCTGGACCTAGTTTCGCACTTGGCATCCCTTTCAGGTGACCCTGATTGGGAGTTCCCCCTGACACTGAAAGAGGGGGTCCCCTTGGGAGTCTCGGACCCTACCTTGACCTCCCCCGGAGTTTGGCCGACTAAGGAGGAGCTTAAGGGAGAAGCCTGGCTGGGGGAAGACCCCCCCCCGCCGGTGGCCCATGATAACTACCCAACGGCTGAACTCTTTGCCAGTGAAATCGAGGCAACCTTTTACGAGGAACGAGCCTTGGACATGGTGGACGGGCCCTTCACCCGGTCGGAGGCGGCAGAGAGGTGCCGCTGCAAACCGGAGGAACTTTGCCCGGGCCCCCTTGCGGGGATTGATGAGTCAGACAAGATCAGGACGATCTACGATGGCTCGAAAGGGGGAGCAAACGCACACATCCAGGCTCATACGGGGGAGAAGACCACTGCACCGATGGTTGGAGACTGCCTCCACGCCATCCACTGGCTCAGGACAGCGACGGACCATCCCCATCTACTTCGAGCCACGCTCTCGAGCACGGAGGAGAGACCTCGGGATGTTCACCAGCCGGTGCAGGGGCAGTCCCCAGGTGCCGAGGGCCCTGAGAGGGACCCCCACAGCACCAGCCTGCCCCCCAGGGCAGAGGGGCCTGATCGGGGCAGGGGGATGATGGATACCTCCGGCGGCCTGGACGTCTCTCTGGGGTCGACACCCTCAGGGAAGGGACCACTCCCAGGTGCCGAGGGCCCTGATAGGAGGGCCCCCTTCCCCCCAACCCGCCCGGGCACGGAACGCCCTGGGGGGATCAGGGGGGAACCCCTGATGTGGCAGCCGCCGACACAGGGGGAAACCTTCATCATCCTCAAGGCGGATGTCACCAAGGCCCACAGGCGTATAAAAGTGCTCCCGAAAGACTGGAAATACCAGGTGGCCTGCATCCAAAACCGGTGGTGGGTCAACAGAGTGGGCACGTACGGCATGGCCTCGGCACAACTGTACTGGGGAAGAAAGGCATCCTTGGTGCTCAGACTCTTGTACTACATCTTCCCTCAGGTGGACTGGCACTTAGTCTTTGTGGACGACTACTGCTGGGTCCTCAGATGCAGCCGGGCGGACTGGGACGCCACAGCCATCCTGGCTACACTGCTGGCGCTGGGAGTCCCGCTTTCCTGGAAAAAGACGGCGCTCTCCCCGATCAATACCTGGTTGGGCTTTGTGGTGGACCCAATCACGCCCTGTGTACTGCTGGCTCCAGTCAAACACGTCATAATCCTGGCCACTCTTAAACGGCTGGCCCAGGGGGACATCTTCACCAGCAAGGAGGTGGAACAAGCCCTAGGCCGTATTCAATGGGCTACTTCGGCATGCCCATTGACGAAACCTTTCCTCCAGCCCTTTTGGAGCTGGAAGAAGGCCTGCACCACTTCGGGCAGGCCACCGAAGCTGGTTCGTGCTCTGGCCATCCTTTTGGGGAGACTCTTCAACCAGAGGTTCCCACTGGCATCTCCGTTTGCTCCCACACTCCCATGGACGGGGGCATCTGATGCGGGAGCTGGCAGACAGGCAGACCATGCATGGGTTGGTGGTTGGTGCTCGGACGTGCCCAACCCCGACAAGTCCCGTGTGAAGTGGTTCCAGCACAGAATCACACCGGAGGGCGAGCCGTGGGCCTTCACTACTGGGGACCCGCAGCGGGCGATAGCGGCCTTGGAGCTCTTCGGCCTCCTCCTTTTGGTGAGGGCCGTTCTGCTTTGTGCAGCCGGCTCGGCTTCTCACACTAGGATCCTGGTTGCTAGTGATAACCAGGGAAATGTTTTCTCCCTTCTTAACGATTCCACTCGCAGGATGCCCAATGCGGCCATCCTCATGGAAATTGTGTTAACGCTGCATGACCAGCAGGTCATGTTGGGGCCGTCGCATGTGAAGCGCGACTTTAACACGTGGGCGGATGAACTTACTCATCCGGACCCGCAATTTCCGACTGAGAACCGGGTCTTCCCCTCAGTCGAAAGCGAATTGATCACACTGATCTTCGCTACTTTCCTTCCTCACCCATGATGCCGGGAGGGCATCCGGTGAGGTGGGAGGATTCCTCCCTCGCTGTGGGAGTGGCATCAATCCTACTCCCATCAGCTGCTGAGGGGAGCTGCCCAGTGGAGCTGGGCAATCCTCCCATTTTGGCACTAACCCTTATGCGGCAAAAAGGAGGCACCGTTTTGCGAATAAGGCCTCAGTAGCACCTGAGTGGTGCTTTGAAGAGTCTTAAGCATCACCATGCTCCGCAGGGAGACGTGTGGAAGCCTGTCAATGTGAGCAACAGTCCATATTTACTCTCATCTGCTGTAGCAAAGGGTATAACCCGTGTCACACTCACCAAACAACTATAAGAACATGGGGATTCACCAAAATGAAACGTCACTGGGCAGTCGATATAGACCCGGGCTGCGGAAAGGCTTTAGCCTTCTGCAAAAGGAATCTGGGTCTGTGTCACATCAAGTGGGTCTTCGCCGAATGATCCATCCGTCGAGGGAGTCGCGCATGGAGTTCCCACCAAGGCTCATTTGGTCGTGGGTCAAAACCTAAGGTGCCAAAAATGGGGATGGTTGCCGCACTGTTGTCTTTTTAGAAGGCTTTCTGGGTGTCCCCCGGGGTACCGGGGTTTTGGCCCATAGCCATTTGTTGATTTAATTTGCCGGTCTCCACTGAAACTGGCGCGAGCGACACGCCGAGACGAAGCCGCTGACAACAACTCCGCAGCAGACCTATGTGCTGCGCGTGCCCACGATGTTGGTTCGGGGCAGCTCCAACATTTGCGCGCCCTTGGCTGCATTTTACGAGGGTTCCATTTGCTGAACTGAACATGTCTTTCATCTTCCCCAAGCTTTAAAGGGGATCCCTGACCAGCATGCAGGGTGAACTGGGAACACACCTTCCGCATGGAAATCGTGGGAGGTGCAACCGCGCACCGAAGCCAAAGATGGAGGGCCCAAATCGAGAGGGGAGCCTTTCGAAAACCGGCCGACGAGTGCTGGTTCGATGGGAATGAGAAATGGAATGATTCATACAATCCATCCAACCTATGGCTTCCTTTGAGGGAATCCCCAAACGGTTCATTCCCAACACCCAAAACGGTCATTCTCTGCAGACCAGCAAGGAGTTCTCTTATTTCCTTGGTTTGGCCAAGTTCAAGTTCTTTTGTTTCATAGTTGACTCATTTTGGTTCCTGAGCCAAGCCGGGGACAAGCAAGGACCAACAAAGCCTGGCAGGCTGGCTGCTGATGTTTCCTTGGCGTTTCTCAACGGGATTCCGTTTGAGAGTTATCTTAAAGGGAAACCGATGCGCACTTCCGAATCCGCCTGTTTGAGCCGATCCCTTTGCTTGGTGGTTCCCAGCTCTCCCCTTAGCTTTTTAGCCTTTTTAGTGTTTAGTGGGGATTTCCATTTCACCCACGAAAACTTTGGTGCATTTTGCTTGGCTGTTAGGACTTCAACTTTTTGCCAACTAAGTCGGGTTTTCCGCTAAACCACTAAAATTTAGTCTCACTTTTAGCCGGGCTTCGCAGATGTCGCCACCGAGCATTTCACCCACTAAAAGTTCTCCACTTGCGGATCTGAAAATGGACAGCGATGCCTTTGAGAAACCAATCGGCGGATTCCACTGGGCCAATCCGGCGATTGGAAGGTCCTTACCTTGCTGTTCCCAGAGCCAAGCTCATGAACCAACATGAGCCGAAATGGCTATGGGCCAAAACCAATGGGATCCCATTTCGGTTGGTAGGTGAATTCACCACCCATTTTAGAACCTATTTTAGTGGGGATTGGGATGTTCACTGGGGGTGCGTGGTTTTGACCCATGGCCAAATGAGCCGATATGAAGTAAAGGAACTGGAAGCTGAGCATCAGCTTCCCACATTCGACACGACTTCTGGTAGTGGTGTTCCTGTACCTTTTTTACACAGGATGGTTTTGCAAATGCTAGGTTAGTGGCAGGAGGGTTTGGCAAGCCTTTGAGAGCGTGTGGTTTATCCAGTCGACTTTCGCAGTGTTGGGAATCAAGCTGTTGATTCACACCATCAGGTTCGTGCTGTCAAGCATACAGTGGTCGGCAGGCAGAAAAGGGCTATGAACGTGAAGGGGGTTCAGTGACCTTTTGACCTTCTGGTTTTCCTTGGGAGGTTATTGTTAATGACAGTCCATGAGAGTTCACCGTTTTCGGCAGAGGTATGATTGTTGGCCTACACATGACACGGATGTGTCTTTTCTTAGGTTGGACCCACACAGTGGCTTCGGTTTTTCATGAGGTTTCCATTAGGTTTCCAATAGGTTTTCTTAGGTTGGACCAGAAACAACGACAGGTTCGATTCGTCAGCCAGGAATCTACACATGTTCACCCCGGATGAAGCCGGAAAAACATATTGGAGGTGGGGGCCCTCGAAAAGTGGTCTGAATCCAACCACCAAAATGGGGACGCCCTCCCCCTCCCCCATATTAATGAACCGGAGGTTCCACTTCGATTCGGGGTGTCCATTATGGTCAAGCTGGAACTTCTTTGGAACGAATTGATTCACGTGAACAAAGCCAACATGTGTCGAAACTTTGCTTTCAATCCGTTGCATCTCGATAAAGACAATCACATACGAGCAATGCTCGAAGGGATGAAGTCCGGCAAGTACCCATTTCAAGGGTATTGGCGGAAGAGCATTGGCCCTCCTTTGAACACGACCTGTGAAGAACGATGCAATTGGAGGGACACATACCATGATCTTTTTCCCATGTGCCACAGAAGTGGTTGAACATTCCCAACAACTTTGCGGGTCACCCGTTTTTGCCACGTGAAAACGCAAGGGTTTTGGTCAAGACCATCCCATGGGAAACGCTTGCTGATGCTCAGTGAATGACCCGGAGGTTTTTTTTTTTTTTTTTTGGGGGGGGGGGTTGGATGTTTTTTTTTTTTTTTTTTTTTTGTGTGTTTCTTTCTTTGGGGTCACTCCAACTTCTTGCCCTTTCAAAACCATCCAACGTAACATCAATCCTCCGAAACGACCCGCAGACAGCGACGACTGGCTGCGTGGGTCCACGCCGGTCGGCTTCCTTCCAGCCGATCTCGATCCGTTCGATAGGCCTTTTGATCGGTTGGTTTCCACTGGTTTGGATTAATTGTATGCCATCCCTTTACCAGCCCCCCCCCCCCCTCCAACCCTAAAAATTGAAGGGAACCACCAGCCAATTCTGTCTGTGCTTCCCCATGTGCCGTCTATTTTGCCAAAACTTCAGTTGTTGGCATGGTTTCAGGTTTGTAGGCTTTTAGGTTCTTTGGTTCTGTTCGTTTTAGAGTTTGTTTGCTACCGCCCATATCAAGGGTGGTCACTTGGGTGTGTCTTTTTTTGGGACACTCCCCCCAAAAACAATGAAGATAAATAGAACCCAATTCTCGTGCTTCTCCTCTTGGTTTCCATTGAAAAAGACCGCACGACACGAGGTTCAACTCCGAACGACAGACAGCAGCCGCTGGTTCTAAAGCATTTTGCATATAAATTCAGCAACCATAAATGAACCAATTAAACAACATGTCAAAGCATGTTGCATATAAATCAAACAACAAGAACTCGAATAGTAAAACAAAAGAATCAAACAAAAACACATGTCAAAGGAAGTGATCATAGGACTTGCCCCGGCTGGGCGCCCGCTTCCGTTTTTTTTTTTTTTTTTTTTTTTTTTTTCGGCGGTTACCGCCGCGCCGAGGACCTGGCGCTGGGGAACCCCTTCGACCCTCTGGGCCGCTTCCGCTTCGCGGGGCTCACCAAGACGGCGCTGAAGCTCTGGGAGCCGGAGCCCCGGGCCGCGGAGCGGAGCGGAGGACACCCCTGGGAGTTGTTTTTTTTTTTTTTTTTTTCTCGGAGCGGATCCGGAGTGGGAGTGTACTTAAAAAGTCTTAGAGGGGTCGCGGAGCGGGTCACCCCTGGGAGGTGTTTTTGTTTTTTGGGAGCGGAGCGGGGTGGGGTACTTAAAAAGTCTTGGATGGGGTCAGGGGGAAGAGGAGAAGCTCTTTTTTTTTTCTTTTTTTTTTTTTTTTCTCCGTGGTTGTTTGTGTTACACTTGTTTTTTTCATTTTCCGTGGCTGTTGTTGTTTTTGTTTGTGGTTTTTTGTGGGGGGTCAGTGTTGGGAGTCGGGTCCTCGGAGCCCCGGAGATCGATCCGTCAGATCCAGTTGAAACGAAGGAGAAATCATAAATGAACCGTCCGACTCCGCCTGCCGAACGGATGCCGAGTAAACCAAACCAAAAGGTGATGGCCGTCTGATCTGAACGAAGCGAAAATGGTTCTTTGATTCTTTTTGATTCTTTGACGAGAGCAATATGCAGAACATGTTACTTAAATTGGCTCTTTGATTTGTCCAGTCTAATCTATTTGCTGAAACAAGGTCTGAATTTTTGCCCCCTGTTGGTTTTAAAGGGACACGATCTAGTTGCTGAAAGAAGTTGGCTGTGGGTGTCAAAACCGTTTTGGGTGATCCCATGTTGGTGGGTAGGTGAATTCACCAATTTTAGGCTTCCTATTTTAGTGGTTGGATTGGGATGTTCACGGGGTACGATTTGGATTTTGACCCATGGTCAGTTCTGAATTATCGTCCCCTGTTGGTTTTAAAGGGACACGATGAAGCGAATGAGAAATGTAAGGAACCGCTTTTTTGATTTTGTTTTTCTTCCTCCCCCGGATTCCCGCAGAAAGGAAGCCACCAGTTGGATGGTTGATGGGTCATTCACTCATTCTGTTGAGAGCCAGGGGATCATTCCAGAATGAGAAGTGGGGATTTTCAGAATGTCCCCAAGCTACCATTCGTTTAAAGGGAACCGGCAAACAAACCCTAGAGAATGGGATGATAAGGAGCAAGGGTTGTCAGAGAGCCTCGGAGATCCTCGCAGATCTCGGAGCGGTGGGCTGGGTACTTAGAGTCACAGGGGTGAGATGAAACACGTTTTTGTTTCTTCTTCTTTTTCTCCGGTTTTGGGGGGGTCAGGTTCTTTTATTCTTATTTGTTTTTCGGTTTCGGGGGTCAGGTTCTTTCCCAGTTCCCTGAAGTTAACCCCAAGAAGAGGATACGGACCAGGGTTGGGGTTGATCCCAAAAATTTATCCAAGCACTTCTGTGATACTTTTGGGAACATCTCCTTTGCGGGGTTAGTCTTTGGGCCACAGCCCGGTTCTAGATCGATCCAAATCCTCGAAGGAAAACCAAGTGGGTTCATACCAATAGTCCATTTGGGCTCCCCAGTTTTGACCATGCGTAACTTTTCCCATGTGGTTGAGTAGCACATCTTTTTAGCTCATCGGACTTTTTTGATCAACCCGCATATGGGTGTGTCGTGTTTGTTGGTTAGGGAACCCCCTTTCAGGTTATTATATAAGGAACACCATTCTGGGGGGTCCGCCAAAACAAGGCACTTAATATGAGTGTGTTTGTTTTAGCTGGTGCCCCATTAGTATCGTTGGATTCCAGAGACATTAAAGGGGAACCGCCACCTTTTGGGGTGTGTCTAAGGTCAACAAATGGGTGTGTTCTTTTTGGGGAGTACCCCATTTGTTGGCGGTAATCATAAGGATTTGTTTGAACGCGGTTTAAAGGGAAGCAATCTGTGATAGGTAACTGTACAAAGTGTTGGGTCCGGTTTTAGCCAATATTGTAAACCTGAGTTGAATTGCACACAAAGAAGAGACTGGGCAGTCTCTACACTAGAATGTCTACAAACATGTTCGGGTCTCATTGATGGGGTCCCATAAGGAAAACCGCCATCATGGGTCCGACCTCTAAAAAGACCAGCGAATTTGGAACGTAAGGGGAAACACTGGGGTCCAACCTAGAGGGACCCGATGTTCAGTGGGGTTTCAGCTATTCAAAGGGTTGAGGGGAACCCATGGGGACCTATGGAGGCGCGGGGTCCTGGTTCCCGAATCGGGTGGTGGGCGGTTCTCGAAAAACTTCCCTATGGGAATGTCCGAAGACGAAGCATATTGAAAGTTCGACGGGATATGAATCTGAAGCAAGTCAGTGAAATATCGGATCTTCTGTGTACTCCAGATGTGGGTCCAGGGATTTTTGAGTGTCCTTTGTGGCTTCCCTTTGAAGCAACATGAAACGGGTATTCTCAGCACAAACACGCCCATCTTTGCGGTTTTATCCAAGGGTGTGTCCTTTTTAGAGGCACCGGGGTTGCAAAACATGGCTGACACCTACCGGAAACCGCAACCATGTGTGTGTGTGTGTGTGTGTGTGTGTGTGTGTGTGTGTGTGTTGTTTTTACCGGTTGGACCTTTGAGTCGATTAACAGCAAGGGGGGCTTCCTCTGGGTTCAAAATGGGTTCCCTCAAGAAGAAAGGCATCAGTTTTTGGGGTTAGGCACACCTGTTTTTTGGGTTTTGGGGTTACAACTTGAAGTCGCCAGGCCTCGGCAGGGTGATCTTTGCCCTGGTTTCCATCTATAAGCCCCATTTTGAGTCCTTGCTTCAATTGTATGTTCCCATTTTCGGGTCGGGAATTTGGGCGATTTGCCGAGATTGGCCCCACCTCCCACGGCCCCGTGTTGGATCGGGCGGCCGGTGTCGGATTTTCGGCAACGGCAGGTACCGGGAAGGCGCCAAGGAGCTGGTGAGCAACGCCGTGGTCTTCGGGAAGCCGGGGCGCAGAGCGCAGAGTTCGAATTTCCTCGCGCGAGCGAAGGGGGGCGGCTTCCTTCGACGGGTATTCGCCAACCAACACCTGCGCCGCTGGCACAGAACATCCTAAAGTTCCTAAACAAGGTTTAGAGGGAAACCATACAGAGCACCTACCAATTTGGTTGGGGGGGGGGGAGGGGTCTGTCCCCTGGATCAAGTTTGCCTCTTGGATGGGGCCCCACCTTTGGTGGGGTGTCCCTTTGGTTTCCCCTTGCAAAACCCTCCGCAAAATACACGTGTCTCAAAATAGGCCCCCCCCCCCCCAAAAGAAAAGAGGCCAGGGTTTCCTTTTTCGTTTCCCTTCAAGACCATCAAGAAAGAAACAAAGAAAGGTTCCACTGTCTTGAGACATCCCCTCGAATGATGGAACCTGCACCTTTCAGGTTGTAGGTGCCCCAGTGCCCTTCTCTCCCCTTTGAGAGGGCAAGCCCCTACCAACTTATTCTAGCCTCTCTAGTGGAAGACCTAGTTCCACGTTTGGGGAGGGTACTCCTCCATTCCTTGACTGCTATTGGGTTGGATCTTTAGACTTCAACTTTTTGGTTGAACTCATTTGGGGTTTTCCGTACTACACCCCCAAAAAATAGAAGCTCACGTTTTGCAGGGGGGTCGTTGCAGCAACCTCCCTTCGGACCAGGGATACCTTCCATTTCCATTCTTTCCAGGGATCCTTTCTACAAAACCTCATTTGAAACCTAGGGAAACCGTTTGGGGAGGGTACCCACCTCCCACGGACCTCCAGCGAACGTTCGCGTCCGAGCGCGCGAGGGCCCCCCAGCAGCACCTCAGCTCGGTGGCCTACGCCTGGGACGCGGGGCAGCTGCTGATGTGCGGCAAGGAGGGCCAGCTCTACAACGCCCCGCGGCTGAACGTAACAAGAAACACCAGGGCGCGCCGGAGTTTGTAAAGGGGGAAAACGGGGTCTGTTTTCTGTTTGTTCTTCTTCTTTTTGTTTTGGTTTGTGTTTTGTTTTTTTGGGCACATCTCCCAGTCTTGGTTGGTTTTGAAGGAAAGCCTAGAGGCAAGCCACCATCTTGGGGGTCCCTGAAAACAAGACACAGCCTTATGCTTATGGCTAAATGTGTGTCCCATGCTGCGATCCAGTTTTTGGTATTTTTGGTTTTATGGACTTACACCAACAAGGACTTGTTTTTTTGGTTTTGTTTTGTTTTTTGGTGTTGTTGGTGTATTTGTCCCATGCTAGACCAAGGACTTACACCTTTGTAACTGTTTGCCCTGTTTCACAAGAGCAGGGGTGTTGCAACAGCCACTGGCCCCGCACGATGAAATGCCCCTAAATGCGTCACCCTTACCTGTACGAGCGCAGCCCAAGGGACAGGCTGTATTCGGTGGCAAAGCCAGTCAGAGCTGTTCTTCGGGTCATGTGTTTGTTTCGGTCTTGGCTGTATACTTGTATAGCAATTTTGGTGCCTCTGTCAGTTTGGCTTTGCAAAGTCCTGTTTATTTGATGCTGCCATCACTGAAGAGGCCTTCTTCTTCATGTTCGTTTTTGGTTGATACTCAAGCGTGGTTTAGATTGGTGGGTCAATGTGCTCTGCTCTTGGTTGTTCTGTCCATGTGTCGTGGGGCCTGCGGGCGAGCAAGACATATTTGTTTGCCTGGGTGAAAAAATAGCCCAAGTTGTTGCACGTTGTTTCCAGCAGCCCAAATGTTTCGACACGTTCCTCTGGCTCGCCATCGCACCAATGACCGGTAACTTCCATTTGCTTTTGCGCCCCCCGGAAAAAATGAAGCTATGTCCAGTAGTGAAATTGATTCCCTTTGAAGCCGACCAGGGAAATATTGGAAAAACAAATCCCAAGCTGGATCTCTGCTTCTGTCGGAGCAAAGATCTCTGTGCACTGCAATGTGAGCATGCTGCAACAAGGCGGTCATGGCCCAGCAGCATACCAAGAGTTGGGTGGTTGTCCGGTGGGGAACCATGACCGCCTTGTTGCAGCATGCTCACATTGCAGTGCACAGAGATCTTTGCTCCGACAGAAGCAGAGACCCAGCTTAGGATTTGTTTTTTCAATCTTTCCCTGGTCGGCTTCAAAGGGAATCAATTTCACTTCTGGACATCGTGACATTTTTTCCGGGGGGCGCAAAAGCAAATGGAAGTTACCGGTCATTGGTGCCATGGCGAGCCAGAGGAACGCGTCTAAAAGATTTGGTGTGGGTCCCGAGGGGTCATGGGCGCTTGCAAGATCATTGGGAGCCCAGGATGAGTAACCCATTTTTGAGTCGGTGTGTTTAAAGTGGTTCAAGGACTCCAAAATGGCTCCCGAAACAATGAGCAACTCTCTCCAACAGGGGGGTACCAGCTCAAAAAAGCACCGGAGTCGCTGGATTTCCACCTCTTGTGGTGATTTTGCTGGTTTCCGCTGAAACTGTGGGGATGATTCACTGGGGGGCATACGGGCTGTTCCACCATCTCTCCGGGTCAACATTGACTAGGCGCGCCAGCCGCGCGGTTGGGAGGATCAACTCCTGTTTTTTTTTCTCTAACCTTTTGCGACTTTGAAGTCAAGGGATCGCCAATTGGGTTTCTGTCATTTTTGCGAGGCGCCTGAATTTGGGGACCATGGTTGTTGTTGGGAAACATCTTACAATTTGGCTTGTTGTGGTTGAGTGTTTGAAATCCAACCACTCAACTGCTACAGCCTTTTTTAAATCCCCTTCCAAAGTCGAGCAAGGGACGGTCTTACCGGGACATCCCAACGCGAGCCGCAGCCCACTTTGGCCCCCCCCCCCCGGCCACATGACCTTCGGCTTGCTTGGATTTCCCGGAGCCCCCATGCCCAAATGGGTGCCTTCTCAGGAAAAAAAAAAAAACGATTTCCCCGAGCCCTATCCCTAAATGGGTGTTTTCTCAAACAAAAAAAGAAGAAAGAAAAACAGAAACGCCCCAAGAGGTGTGGAAGTTTTGGTTTCGAACTGGGAAGTGTATGACGTCTGCAGATCGAGTGCAGGATTCTCCCGAGCTCCCAATGCCAGTGGGATTTCCCTGGTCCAACCGACATGTGGGTTTCTCAAAATGCATCTTTCTCCCTCCACTCCAAAAGGACACCTCTGAAAGAAGAACACTCAACTGACTCAACTGTGTTGGTTTCCCCTGCATTTTGTTGATGGTGTCCTGAAAAGATTCGGATCCCTGCAAGGAATGGACATGGAAGCTTCCCCTAGAATGTTTCGCGGCTTTTCCTCTTTTGGGGGGGGGGGTTCCGATTCCCAAAAAATACGGCGCGCCCGTATTGTGTGTTTTCTTTCTTTCTTTTTAAAACAAAAAACACAAAATGGGACCGGACATGGACTCGGACGCTCTCCCCCAGAATGTTGTCCACTAAACCCCCCAAAAAGTGAAGCACTTTTTGCCGGGGGGTCGTTCCAGCAACCAGGTCATGGCTTTCTTGGAATGAGGGGCTGTTGATTTGGGCCTTTGACTTGTGCCAAGTCATTTCGTCTTTTCACATACCGCGTCTTGTGCGCGCGTGCGCTCGGCTCGCGAGACTCCGAGACTCCGAGGTCCAGGGCTGCCACGTCCACCAGAGCGGGCGCCTGGGGCCTAACCTGGGCTGCTGCGCCCCGCTGGCGCCGGGAGGCGACGACGCGGCGTTCGAGAGACGGGGGGAGCAGAGGTGTGCTTTTTGCTTGGTTTGCTTGAAAAAAAGACAAACAAAACAAAAAGCAAACCAACCAAAAAAGAACAAAACAAACAAAACAAAAACAAACAAAACAAAAATGGAATGAGCTGAGCTAAACCATCCCACTGGTGGTTTCCTTTCGGGAATGGGTTCCTTCCCTAGGCCCCTCAGCAATTAATTGGCCCTTTTAGTCACTTCGGGCGAGGGAGGGTTCTACTAGAATAGACTACAGAAAAAAAGTTGGTACCAACTTCTTCTAACCGATCTGGAGGACCTAGCAAAACGTAGGGAAGAAGCTCAGTTGGTCTCCATCTAGGTCTGTCTCTCTTTTAGGCGGTTTTAAACACCCACACTTTGTCTCCATGTTCTTTCTTTTTGTTTGGGGGGGGGAGGCAACATTTGGGTTTGTCTCTTTTTAAGGGACCCCCCCCTGTTTGGGCGGTTTTAAGGGAAGCCAAAAGGAAAGCCATCATTTTGGGGGGTCCACTAAAGAAAGACACTCCCGATTTTCCTGTTTTTTTCCTTCTTAAAAACATATAAATAAACAAACATATATTATTGTGTTGATTATGATTACGATGATGCTGATGATGATGATTCTTATTATTACTACTATTTTTAGTGTTATTATTATTTATAGGGTGGGGGAGGGGGGTTGGGAAGCCCAACATGGTGTCTATCCTTCTGGCAAAAAAACAAAAAATCCACCCAGGAATGGAAGCCCTGTGGCACTTCCCAAGTCCATCCGACTCGATCAACTTGACCTTCCACCGTCAGGTAACCCGTCAGGTGGGTAGTTTGGGGCCCGGTGGTTTGGGCTTGAGTTGAACTGTCTCTGGTTCTTTGGAAGACATGGGAGCCAGCCCGAAAAGCCAAAAACCGCCAATCCAAATCATCAATTTGAGGGAAGCTGACTTTTGGTCGAGGATTGTTTTTTGGTTTGCAACAGTTGTAGCCTTTGGGAATCTCAAGACTCATGTCATACCCCGCAACAAGATCTGCAACGCGCATGAAATCACCGAGGCACGCCAATCCTACCACCCCATGTGTGTCTGCGTGTTTGGGATGTTTTTGACGGTATCTTTTGCAAGGTTGGTTGAAAGGGAAAGCGACAGGAAGCCTTGTGCCCATTGGCGGAAGTCCCCTTGTGTTGACCCGTGTCCATCTCGTGAGAGGAACAAACGCACCGCCCCAGTTGCACATGTTACCCTGGCCCGCCAGCGTGACCTCCAACAGGGACTATTTCAAAGGGGGGGGGGGGGGTGAAATTATCGGGAATGACTCAAAAGTGCTTGGCGGGTGTTCACCAAGGGGAGTTTGAAAATGAAAGCTCGCCACTATCATGGGGGCTTGGGGGGGGATTCACCATGGTAAGGGGACTATTCCCCCAGTTACACCAGTTATAAGCATGGTTCTAAGTCATAGCCTTACCAAGTTGGCTGAACATCCAAGTAGCGGCCCCTTCTCTTCGCCGGTTCTCGACCGAAAACCGAACCGGAAACGCGCGAGAAAACGCGGGCCAGGGGGCTTCGACTACCTCGCGGGGTGCGCGGACGGCGCCTTTGTGCTGGGCCGCTTCGAGCAGGAGCGACGCCCAAGGGCTCGCCGGTCTGGGCGGTTGGGCTTGGGGCGCGAGCAGCTGCATCTAACAAATGGGTGTGGGTAAAAAATAGGGTAACCCCAAATGGAACCCTGGCCAACGGAAACAAAGACTAAAACCTGCGGTCCCCTGGTACTTAAATTTTTGACCCACACCCAAATGGCTTTTGTCTTGACTGCCGTTGGCTTGGATCTTTTAGACTTTCACTTTTTGGTTGAAATCATTTGGGGGTTTCCACTAAACCCCAAAAAGTTATTCACTTTTTGCAGGGGGTCAACTGCAACCAGGTCATGGCTTTTTGGGAATGAAGGGATTTTGATTTGGATGTTTGATGACTTGTGCTAAATGTTTAGTGTTTCGCATACATGCTGCTACTGTGCAGAGCACGAGACGCAGACGCAAAAAAATGCACGTCGTCTGATTTCTTCTCCGCACCGAAGGATTGCCATTTCAGCTGCGTCAAAAGTCCGGCAGGACCCGCCGGTGAAGGCCATGAAGAGCCGGCCATTGGGGATCAGGCGAACGAGTGGAGGGGCGCTTTTCCTGCAAAGCTCATGACCCCTTTGGATGGATGAAGTCCTGTGGCACTTAAGAAATGCTTTCAAAGTGGTTTCAAAGTGGTGCAGGATTCGTCCATCCACACTATGGCGTGAGAAAAATGTCGGGCCCGAACCAACTGAGCTATTGAAATCAACCCAGTTTTTGAGTGCGGCCCCCCAACCCCACCTCAACCCCCCAGGTGTCCTTTGGGTGAGTTTGGACGGAAGGGATCTGGTTGATGACCCTTCACTTGGATTTGGGAGGGCGTGTCGTTTTATTAGGAAACGTGATTTCCGTTTGGTTTCCATTTCAATACCAAGAAGGGTAATTACCACCAAAAGAAGACGAGCCCCCCATCTAACCGTGGAGTGAAGGGCCGGAGGTTTTGTGTCTCTGGCAAGGCTTTCTACGAGGCTTGCAAATAACTCGGCCGTGACTGCAGGTTTGAGACATTGGTGCCATTTGCCAAGGCAACCTGTTTTGGGTACCTATTTTTGACCCACGGCCATTTCATTTGGGGCGAACCATTTTTTGAGGGGAAACAACGACAAGGGATTTTTTGTAGGGTAGAATCCATCTGCCAGTGGAGGCTAAATTTTGACCCACATCCGAATGGTTATGATTTTCAATCCAAAGTCCCTTTTGCTATCGTCACTGGGCAACATGCGCAACAGATGATGGACAAGCCTGCCTTGATCCAGCTGCACCATGAATACGGGCACCGTCAAGCACACCTGAGCTGTCTATTTGCCTAATATAATCCGCCGACGCCAGTCGAGCGTGTAGATGGCAATCGGCAATTGCTCTTCTTGGCTGCATCCTCCGCATTCTCAGCATATGGGATCCCAGAGATGGCGTCGGCGGATCGCATAGCGACTTCAATATCGGTCTGTTGTTTTGTTTAAGACTTTTTCCTGTTGGTGGATGAATCCGGGGTTGAAGATTGGGTATGTGTTGAAATACAGTGGATGGACGAAATCCTGCACCGCTTTGAAACCATGTTCGTCCATCCACAGTGGGGAGTTGAGCGCCCCAAACACCGGGGGGCTTTCATTTTCGTTTCCCCCGATGGTTCCCTGAGCGTTCAGCCCATGTCAAGAGGGTGTCGTTCCTGGGAATGGTTGACCTGTTTAGGCTCCTTCCCGTAATTCTGGTGGTGCTCAGGCAATGAGAAATGGACCCCCCCCCCCCAAAAGCAAAAAACAATACAAGAACAAACAAAAAAACACCCATCCAACTGGTGGTTTCCTTTTGGGGAATCCGTGGGTTCATTCCATTTCTCATCCAACTCGCGATTTCGCCCCCATGGAAGCGGAGGCCTCAGGCGCTGGAGCGCTTCGTGCTGGAAGATCTGCCCTCCCCTCTGGGCCAGGCCAGCGGCGAAGGGGACCAACACCTGCGGTTTGCCCCTCCTCTTGAATTTTGAGCCACACCCATATCTTGAAATGAACCCTTCGGGCCTATTCAAATGAGGTCAATGTTCAGTGAAAGGGCTCAATCCTTCAAGGCCTTTGAACAAAAGCTTGCACTGATTAAGTAAGAGCGGAATCTGAAGCGCTCCGTGTTTTTGTTGCGGCCTTTAGGCGTGCAGAAGGCTCAGATGCCGCTAAGACGAATGGAGAGATTTCCTAGACGCCTCGAAATATGGGTTGGTTTGTAGGTTTGGTTGGATTCCTTCTGTGAATCAACATTTGGTTTGGTTGGGTTTTGGGTTTTACGTCTTGGTTGTTTGGTTGGTAGGTTTGATTTGTGTATTTTTGGTTGGTTTCCTTCTGTGAATCTGCATGTCAAGGTTTTGGGTTCATATTTCGCATCTTTGCCAACTTGACTGCAGCGACGAAAGAAGAGCATAATTGTACTGCCCAGGTGATGAACAAGGAAACGGTTTAAACCCTAGGTAACGAACAAAGAACATATTTACGCCCTAGGTAATGAGCAAAGAACAGCTTAAACCCCAGGTGAAGGACAAAGAGAGGATTTGAAGCTCTTCATCCTCCAAATTGGGTCAACCAAGTTGCCATTTTAATGGAAATCAGTTGAACCCTAGCGTGGGAGGATGAGTTTTATGACAGATCCCAGGTTCGGAAGGGGATTTGTGGGATCTGAAGGTTCTTGGACATACTGGAGAAGGTTCAGATATTCCCCAGTCCCACCAACGAACATAGAACCTGACAGGGGGGTCCCGGAAGACCATTTTTCCTTTAAAGGGACCGGGCCCCGAAGGTCAGGTTTCTATGTTACCCTCCACCAACATGGAAGTGCACAAAGCTTTGTGCGCCTTTCCAAGAGGAAAGTCGGCTTGCTACAGACAATTGTGCACTTCCATGGAATTGGCGGAGGGAGGGTAAAAGACTTGACTGCTATTGGATTGGATCTTTAGACTTTGACTTTTTGGTTGAAATCATTTGGGGGTTTCCACTAACCCCCCCCAAAAGTGAAACTCACTTTTTGCAGGGGGGTCGTTGCAGCAACCAAGGTGAAAAAAGGTGGGGAGGGTACCTTGACCCCGACTCGGAGCTTCTCCGAGCCACAGTTCTCTCCTCGAGTCGCAGGAGTTCCCGAGGGGCCTTCGCCCGCACTGGCGGAACCTCCAGGTGAACGACGCCCGGCGAAACCGATGTCGGGTGGGTGGGTCGTGACGCACCGGGAAAACTTCGCGCCTGAACGCGGAAGCCAAAAGGGGGTTGGGGGGGGGGTTGGATGGGGTTGGGCTCCCCCAAAAAGAAGACTCCTCTAAATATGCGGTTTTTTTTTTTTGGGGGGGGTTCCAAAGTAGGAGTTTTAAAAGGGCTGGTCCAAAATCCTAGCGCTTTGGGCTGGATGATCATGCCTGGTGATTTGTACTACGCAGAAGCTAGGGGCTTTTAGCTGAATTCAAGTGGGGGGTGCGAAAATGCCGAGGGCCGAGGGTCATAGGTGTTCTTTTTAGGTTAGTTTCAGTCGAAACGGATGGATTCCACTGGTTTCCATCCATTTCCCAGAGACACCCTTCAATTTTACCAGTTAGGGACACCTATGCGGAGGGTTGCAACCACACAGGAACCGCTGTTGGGGTTCCCCCAGCTTCACCAAGTGTGCCGCCCTCAAACGGGGCCCCGGAACCCCCAAACATGTGTGAAAGCAAGTATGGTCTCCCAGGATCGAAAGGGCTTGGGCTATATGGGGTCGCAACATAGGGTAACCTCCAAAATGGGTGGTTGGCTTTCGGCTTCCCTTGAGACGAGCCACCCATACCCCAAGGGAACCTCATGCAACGCAACAATGCACTCATAGTCCCTCCTATCCCCCCCTCTTTCCGCATGATGGAACTTCAGGATCCATATTGCCCCCTTGGCAACATGATACCTAAGTTCTAGGGGTTGATTCCCCATTCTTTTCATCCTTCTTTTCAAAAGCCGTTTCTCCCGGGGTGTCCGGAGAGTTAGAAAGGATCCCTACAAATGGAAGGACTCCCGGGGGAATAATTGGAGAACACATCTCCAGGGAAGCCACTCGGTACTCCCAGAGCAACAGGTCCTTCAACATGCTATCCCAGTCAGCCGGTTCGGTCCTGGTTTGGCAAAACTCGCTGGTCAGGGGTTTATTCTAGTGGTTGATCCCCCATTCTTTTCAAGCATCGTTCTTTCCAAAAACCGGATCCGTTTTCCCTGGGTTTCCAAGGAGGTTTTCTAGAAAGATTCGGATCCCTGGAAAGAATGGAAATGGAAGGTACCCCTAGAATGGGAAAGGCCACCGTTTTGAATGGTAAATCCACTTAAACTGGGTGGCCCGTCTTTTTGTAGGCGACCGCCCAAAATGGCTCCCATGCTCCTGCTGGCTTCCCTTATAACCACTGGCTTCCCTTCCGCCAGAGATCTTTTCCCTCACCCTTGCGGTCGCACGGGTTGAAACCGATTCCTGTTTGTCCAGGGTTCCATCCAAGGGCTTGCGGATTGCTTCAAATGGGAAATCCCTGGGTTTAAGTCTACCATGAGGTAGTCAAAAAACGGAACCCTGCCTGGGTCCCGGTTTTGGGGTTCGGGACACCAGCACCCACACCCTCCCCCGCCCCAAAACTTCTCGAGGAGCCATGGTTGTTGTTGAACACATATTTGCTTGTTGTGGTTTGGTGCTTGAAATCCGCATGGACCTGACGCGGGAGCAAAGAGTTTGTCAAATCCCGTTGAAAAGCACCCCCTTCCTGTTGTTTCTACCCACTCTGCTCTCTACAGGGGAAGGAAAGCCAGAAACTTAGACACATGTTTGCTTATTGTGGTTGAGTGGTTGAAATCCGACCACCTAAGTGCTCATTGTGTTTTTGCTCCCCTTCCAACGTCAACCAAGGAGCGGTGGCAGGCTTTGGCGGCCTCCGAGGGCCACATCTTGGTCTTCTTCGACCTGGGCCTGGCCCCAGGCACCTTTCGGCGCGGGGGGGGGGGGGGGAGTTTTTTGTTTTTCTCCATTTTTGTTGTTTGTTTTGTTTTCCAATTTTTGTTCCTCTTTTTTTTTGGGGGGGTTTCTTGGCCTTTTGGCAAAAAAAAAACCACAAAACAACAAAAAGCGGAAAACAAAAAGACAAAACATAAGAACAAAAAACACGGCCCTGGCCGGAATGGCACACCCGGAAGGGGGGGGAAGGAAGGGGGCGGAAGATCGCAGGGAAGTTCCAAACATGTGTCTGTGTGTTTTGGTGGGTGTGGCTGCTGCTATGAAGGGAAACCGAAAGGAACGCCGCCATTTTTCAGGTCATTTGGCAGGTTGGTGGCTTGGATTGGTGGCGTAGCTTTTTCGCTCTTTCTTTTCTTTTTTTGGGGAGGGTTCTTTATTTGCCACATACCCACGGGGTTTGGTCGGGTGGCATGGCATTTTTCAGGCAACCCGTCCGGTTGGTGGTTTGGCGTAGTGGGTTTGGATCTGGATTTGAACGGGTCCCTGGTTCTCGAAGAGGATAAATGGGACACCACCCCCTTGCCACTAAAACCCCTCATCCAAACCACTAATTGGAGGTTAGCTGATTTTGGGGGAGTGTGATTTTGGCATCGCAGCAACTTAAAGGAGCCCCTGTTTTCATGGCGATGAATGAGTCGGAACTTCAGCTCAAAAGTGGTTGTCCACCAATCAGCCCCTGAATAGTTTTCGTCGGGAGGTTTTTTGTCAGATGCCTCTGAAACGATCGGGCGCTGTCTACAGGATTGATTGCAATCCTGAACCGTTCCGAAGAGATGGCGATGTTCAAGCCATGTTGGTGTCCGTTTGATTGCAGAGTTTGATAGACCAAGGCCATCTATTGTACCAAAAGGTGGACTGCTTGTTGTCGGTTTGCCATTTTTCTACAAACCGACAGATCTTAATTGAGCAAAGCGGAGGTTTCCAATCAACTTTGAAGATCCCCCACTATAGTTTCCAGAACTTCCATTTTGTCAATAATCTTGTTTGTTTTCCCAGTTTGGTTTTAACGGGAATGTATCACTACTTGTTTTCTAGGGGACTAAGACTTAGTCCAAAAAAACACTTTTTTGGGTGAAGACGCATAGGTGTTGGGGGTGCAGGCGCCTGTTTAGAGAGGGTGCTCACCACCCCCGAACCAATAAAACAGGGTGAATACAAGGCGCCTGTGGTTTTTTTGTGGAAATCTGGTGGACACCAGCTGAAGGCATGCTGTTTCAGTCGATCCTGGTGGCCAGTGTTGCCCCCGTTCAGAATTTCATGCAGAGAGTGGCTTTGGCACATGTGCTGACCAGGATAAAGCTCTTTCGCTGCATTCTTTAAGGTCGTTCGTGGAATCCAGCACAGGTTGGAGTCATTGGCTGGCATGAGTTGCCCAAATATGTGCTGAGGGATGGTGAGGACGAATGAATATGAGTCCAACGGCCAATATTTTGCGTGAAGGCTCACACAGGTGCAGCAACCAAGTGTTGTTTCCCTTGGACAACATACCCAACAAGGGTATCTCAGCCCGCATGTTGTGTTCAAGCCTAGCATGATGAACTCAGCCAGACCCTGTTGTGTCAACTCACCGCATATTGCCAAGCGAAGACTCAGCCCCTTAAGGGTGGGTCTTTCAAGGAGAACCCGGCAACGATGTCTGATTTGCTGTTATTTTGAGACTGATAGGTGTTCAGTTGCATGAGTTGGTGCGGTTGACGCCCCCGACTTGGTACAGGGCCGCACAGGACCTGCAGGTTGCGCTGGTCTTTACCAAGCGTCACATTCCGTGGGCTTTGGCTCCAGGATTTGTGCTCGAGGCGGCCACATCACGCGGCGTGTTTCCGGCACTTTCCGTTTGTCTTCAGCTTTCAAATCATCTAGCCATGCGCGAGGCGATCTGCATTCACATCGGCCAGGAGCCTTGGAAGAGAGTAACCCTTTGAAGTACTTGCTCTGATTTGCTGGTGCTGGCAACCACGTGTTCTCAGCGGGAATGCGAGATGGGACCCCAATTCAATTCACCCCTCCGATCCACGCAGCTTCCTTTCAGGGACTCCCAAACGGTTCATTCCTAAAGCCCAAGCCGGTCCAGTCTCGTCTCGTGGAGCTGGTGCTCGGGAGCTGGGGGTAATTCTCGGAGCCCTGCGGAGCGCATGGCTCGTTCCTGGAGCTCAAAGTGTCAGATGGGGGTGGCAACCAAAATGAAACGATCGGAGGGGCAAACCGCAGGTGTTGGGTTACCCATGTTTCCACTTACCGATCGGGCAACCCATGTTGGAATCCCCGGTTTTGTGGTTGCCACAGCCAGAGATGGCCAGTTTTCACCCTCGGGGTCCTTACAGGTCTGTGAGCCTTTTAAAAAAGGCACTGGCCTCAGGCCGCGTCTGACCCATGTGACATATGGCTGTTGTCAAAACCGTTTTGGTGGATCCCGTTTTGGTTTGGATTGGTGAATTCGCCCATTTTAGGCTTCCTATTTAGTGGGGATCGGTTGATGTTCACTGGGGGGTACGGGATTTTGACCCATCTCCATATAGAAAGTTGGGTTCCCTGGAATATGACATATGTGTCAGACATAGAACGTTAGGCTCCCTGGAAGATATGGGGTTTTGCGCTGTCAGATCTAGAACGTTAGGTTCCCTGGAATTTATGTACCAAACTGTGAGCAGTGCTACGCAAGAGAGGACACTGCTTTCTTGTGGAGTGAGCTGATGCGTTTGTCGGAGACCAGGTAGGCGCGTTGTCGTCCACGAATGTATTTCTACGAAGCAGCAACAAACACAAGAAGCACCTCCCAAAATAGCGCGGCGTCAACACGGTAGGCGATCTTTTTAGTAGATGGTTCTAGTACCCCTTACTTCATACAGGTTATATTCAGGCCTCGGCAAACCTTTAAACAGCCTCGGCAAGGCTTACACCCATTTCAGTAGAACCAGAAGTCACAAGTAGCTTCACACCCAGCCCTTCGATGTTGGGTTGCTCTGCGGTTTGGCCGTCAGCCTTTGTAGTGTGTTTGGAAAGTGTTATTTTCCAACCAACAAACAGTTGAAGCCACCAAATAGCCTATGGGCACCCATTTCAGTAGAACCAGAAGCACCTATTACAGTAGAGCCCCCGGCGTAGCCCAGGGACACCCATGGAACCAGAAGTCACAAGTAGCTTCACACCCAGCATCGCCCAGCCCTCTGAGCGTAGCCCAGGGCGGCGTGCAGATTGGCAACGCCTGCTGGGAGCTCTTCTGCTTGGAGCACGGCATCCAGCCTGATGGCCAGATGCCCTCGGATAAGACCATCGGCGGCGGTGATGACGTATCGAGCCTGATACGCGCGATGTTTTGTCTTGGCTTCCGCTGCTAGGTCCCCCAGTAGTGCCCTTCCTCGCCCCTTTTTTGGGTGGGAGGGTTCCCCTACTAGAATCATGATGGTTTCGATGGGCTTCCCTGTAAATCAAGCTGAAGTGGGTACGAAGAATGAAGCACCCGCAGGAGCGCCTACACTCCTTCTTGCAACGTTTAGTCAGGGGTTCCATTTCCCAGCTTGGTAGATCTCATGTGAGATGATTGTATGAACCGCTCTGCCAGTACTCATGTCCTGAACAAACTGTTCAGGGGAACGACATGGGGCACCAGCTTGCATCTTTGCCGATGACTGACCAACATCTAACGTTGAGGACACATCGTGAATTGACCGCCACTGCGCGGTCTTCACTGAGACTCCTTCCAGCGCTGGTTGGTTGCTTAAAAGGCAACAAAGAAGGAAGGATGCCTTAGAAGCGCGCATGAGGATCACTCTGCGCACGCTGTTCAACTTGCGCGCACAGTCATGGGGGACATTTGAGGGCTGAAGGCCGTTGGTTACGGGTCGCACCTAGAAAGCGGAAAGCGGCAAGCTCATATCGTGGGCAACTGGGAAGACCCACCCGTGGTGATTACGCGTGCCTTGCCGCACGGGCGCCTTTTAGTGCTGTTGTAATCTTCTTGCGTGTGGGCTCACCGGGAGGTACGAAGTACATATGTGCCGTTGACAGGGTCGCCTGCCACTGCGCTGACCTCTTGGGCTGCGGGGTTTTGGCTGCGCGCCTTTGGAGTCTTGAGGGCTTTGCGGCAGGCTTTGCAGCAGCGCAGTCCAGAGAAAAAAACGGCGCAAATCATCGTCAATTGAATCGGCTTCAAGGCGGTTTGTTCATCAAGTTACGGCTTTCTCGCAGGCGCTATCGGAGCTACCGGCGGCCACTGTCTTTTTACTGTTCCCTTGCCCGTGAAGCTTGTGGGGCCCGTCAAGGCCGACGAGGCTCTTGGGTGCAGCAGACCCCCCAACACAATACAACAATGAGACCAAAGTTGTCAGTGGCTTTTTGTCTCAGTTGATCTTGACCCGAGGCAGCTGTTGGCCAGGCACGCAGGGTCTGTTCAAGCCTAGTAGAAACTGGCACGGCCCTGTCCGTGCCCAAAAACGCTCCCATCCCAGAAGCCAAATCCCACCAGCTGCCAACACTCGGAGTCTGATCCCACCCTGCACGTCTGCCAACACTCGGAGTCCAAATCCTACGAGCACGGCCCGGTCCGCGCCCAATGAATGCCCCCATCGCGGAAGCATGCTACGCAGACCACCATCGCATCAGAGATGCATTTGGGAAAAAGGGCGCTTTAAGAGACTCTGCGGTTGTGTGCATGTGCCCCTGCCTATCCATTGACTTGCCCTGGTGGCCTATTCTTTTTTCTATGCAGCTCTGCGTGCATCTATTCATCTACCTGTCTATTGGTTTGTCTGTCTATCCGTCTGCCCATCTCTGCACCTGTACAAATTTAGCAACCTACTTGTTTAATCTAACGTATTCTGGCCAAATCAAATCTAATCTAGTGTATGTGTCTATTTGTCCATCGATTTATCTGTTCTAAGGCAATCTACTCGATCTATCTCTCTATCTCTTTGTCCCTATCTTTCTACCCTTCTATCTACATAAATGTCCTTTCTATGTATCTACGTATCTCTCTGTGTTGTATCTGTCTCTATCTATCCATCTATTTGTCCATCTACCTGCCCATTTTGCTTTCCGTCTATCTCTCTCTCTTTTCTACCGATCTATGCCAATTTCATCCATCTGTCTCTGCCCATCTATCTAGCTCCGTCTGTCGTCCATCTATCTAGCTATCTATCTATTCATCTAATCCCATCAATCTGTCCACCGATCTATCTATGTATCTATCTATCTATCTACCTATCTACCTATCTACCCATCTCCCTATCTACCTATCTACCTATCTACTTATCTCTCCTATCTATCTAAAGCTTTATCTAACTATCTATTTGTCGATCGTTCTATCTATTTTATCTATTTATCTATCGAGGTATCTTTCCGTGAAAGCCCGCCTAGCACGTGGAGCCCGTGAGGCCCGTCGAGCCCGTTAACCCGTGAAGTTGAGCCCACGCACTCGCGAGGCCCGTCAGGCCCGTCAAAAGCTCGTCAAGACCGTGAAGCCGTTGGGCCCGTCAGGCCCGTCAGGCCCGTGAACGGTGAGCGGCCGCTTCTCCTCCTGGCTCCGGGCTGCAGCTTCCACTGCACACAGCTCCGACACCACACTCCTTCTGTCCGGGCTAATTACTGCGTCCGCGCCACGTGCCTCAGCCGGCTCCTTCTGTGCGCCGCACCAGCTACCAGGACGTTTGCCCACTTGCCAAAACAGAGGCGCGCGCTGCCGCGTTGTAACGCACCAGTCAATTGAACAACGACCCTTTCCAGGCAAAAGAAACCGTGAGCGTGCACAACGGCTTCGGCTTCAGCCCTGCGCTTTGTGGCAGAGGAGCCAAACGGTTGCAGTCACAAGGGTGTGACCTTCTGCAACACCTAGTTTTGAGGCATTCAGGTGCGCGGCACGTTCAATAATATACCCCCTCGCGGCCGGTGCGGGCGTCCTCATGCAGGACGGCGAAGAGTAGATCCAGGACGTCACACGTGTGTGCATGGCAGTTGTTGCTTGTGCTGATGTTTTGCATCGTATGCACGGGGCATACGCACGCAGTCAGTGCTAGCAACCGAACCATGGATGCGCCCCACAGGGGCGTGGAAAAGAGTGGCAGACACCTGGAGTGCGAGCGTGGGCTTACCCATGCGGGCCAAGAGCTGAATGACATGTGTGGAATGAGCGGAGTTGCGCTCATGCTTGCCTTCTTGGGACAGTTGGTGCAAGGGTGTGGTAGCATGCTGGACTGGAAGGCGGTGCTCAGCCGTGTGTTTGGAAGGAAAGTACGGCCACGGCCGGTCAGATGCAGGTGGGCAGGAAAGGGACGCGTGAAAGCGCCACGGCTCGGGTGGTTGCCTAGGTGCGTGGCGCGCCGGCGGGCAGGCACGCCAAGTGCGGTCCATCCGCACTTGCAAGCCTTGCGAGCACGTAGGGCCAAGAGCATGAGCTGGAGCATGTGGGCCTGCCAGGCCATGGTGCAACGGATTACTGTCCGGAGGTCAGCGCCGTCTGGTGTAAGGCCAAACACAGCTTTGAACCAAATGCTGCGTGGGGGAAGCAAAGGTGGGGCAAAAGCCACCGAGCGAAAGCGAGAGGAGCGGCTTGAGTCCTCGCTGCTGGATGGGCTGGAGAGACTGTTACAAGCCCATGCTAGTGAACCAGTGGCCGGGAAGCACGACCTGGATCACGAGCAGCACTTGTTCCAGGCCTTGCAACGTGTGGTGGAGCGAGCCAAGCGCCAGCCGGGTACGCTACTTACCCGGCTCACGAGCCTAGTGCAAACTGCAAAGGATGGCAAGGCCATTAGGGCCAAGCACAAGAGCAAGAAGCAACGTGACGCGCATGAACTGCTCGAATCTCCGGCGAGGGAACCGCCAGAGAAACGGGCCAGAGTGCAGGAAGTCAGACAAGGGACGCTATCCCTCAAGCCAAGCGCCGGGCCAGAACCTTCGTGGGCTGACGTGGTCCGCGGGAAAACCCACAAGGCGAAGCAGCAGCAGCCTGGACCCAAGCACGACAGCGTGCCGCAGTGCAAGGCAACGGGCACGGTGCAGCCCAACGAGTCCTGGCAGCTTTTGCAGAGCGCGTGGGGAACGGCAGGGGTCGCCACATGCCAAAAAGCCCGCGAGGACTTGGAAAAAGGCTGCAAGCCTACCTGTGCTGCAGTGCAGTGTACAAGCATGGATGCTATACGTGACCTGCAGCGACTTGCCAAGCTTCACGGCATCGCGGACGCGATGGTCGCCTGGGCCCAACCAAGACACCAAGGATGAGGACGGGAAGCTGGCCTTCCTACCTTCTTGGGAGGGACAGCGAGCTGGGCTACGCAAGTGCCGTGTGTTTGCACTCTCAGGGACGTTGCTCCCAAAGCTGCCCAAGCAGCCTGTGCAAGTAAAAAACGGGAATAAGCCTGGGGTCCTGGTGGCCTTCCGTGTCACAATAGTGAAAGCCTTCGCGCCAAGGGACACCTGGGAAAGTGCAAAGCGGAACCCTCAGGCGTGGTTCCGGGGTATGCTGGGTGAAAACCTGCACTCGTGCTACGGTTGGCAAGAGATAAAGGTTGCCGCCAAAAACAAGGCTGCCGAGGAGACCTTGTTGCAGGGGTACCTTCGCACAGATGAGGGCCACGTAAGCAAAGTCAGTGGGCTACACGGCCAAAAAGGCACCTTTTGCCAGAAGCTGCCCTGTGAGACCCGCAAGGCCCCAGTGTGGTGGGTCCCCAGGGGTGACGCTGAGAGTGCCTTGGACTACTATGCAAGAGCTGCAGGCGAGGCCAACAAGCAGACAGCGCCTCTTGCCTTTCGTCAAGGCGGCGGGGCGTCACTGGGCATCCGCCTGACGCCGGACAAAATGGTCCCTCAGGTCCACGCCTGGACTGTGAGCGGTGTGCCCAAAACTTGGTTCGAACGCGATCTAGTGCAATGCCTGAGTGAGGCTGGAGGTAGTGAAGTCGCGGTTGTGCGACCTCCTGGCAAGCAGAAGGCGTGGGTCGTCAAGGCCAAGGTGCCCGACGAGGACGACACTGGGGTCGTCGGCATCGAGGTCGACCAAGTTGGTGTCTTACTTCTCAGCCGCGTAAAGGGCAGGGCAGCCCGGGCCACAGCTGTCATCAGTGACATCCGCCCAGCAAAGCGGGGGGCGCGCGCGCTGCATGCAAGTGAAAGTGCAAGTGAACCAAGCTCGGGGCCTGCGTCGCAAGCCGAAACCGACCAGGAGAGGGAACGCTCGCCACGCCGTGGCCAAGGCAAGAAAGGCGAGAGCGCGACCAAGACGCGCCAGGACCCAGTACCGGCCTTGCCGGCGTCGCTGCCATACTTCGAGCTGGAGTGTGGAGCCAAGGGCAACTGT